CATACCGAAGATTGTTCTGTTGATTGTTCCGTCAATTCTGGTACGCTGAACGAATTTCTCCCTGACTGCTTGCTGAAAAGGAACAGAACATCGTAGAAGACATCTACATCCTCATCTTGCCTATCTCGACAGTGCTGCACCTCTAGATGTCTACACGCCGCAAGTTTGCTGTTCTATCTGTCATTGGCTTCGGCGCTTCCGCTGTCCTGGTAGCATGCTTCCGTCTCGTTCCTCTTTTCGAATTGAATTCGTCACCAGATCTTTCGTACGTCCTCGGAAAGATGGTGATAGTAGCTGCGGTAGAGATACAACTAGCTATAGTTGCAGTCAATCTACCTGCATTAAAGGCTCTGTGGGTCAGGATTACAGGCGGGAGTTCAGCTGACTCGCGCCCTTACTACTCGCGCCAAAGGAGCTACAAGCTTTCGACCCTAAGATCATCGTCGAAAGGCAGAAGTAACAAAGCGTCTAGAGGGAGCATCACAAGGATGGAGCACAACATGAGAGGCACGGAGTCTGAGGAAGTTTTATTCGAGCAAGCAGGGCTGCAACGAGCATCTCACACGCCTGATATTGGCATTACTGTCACAAAAGAGATAACAGTAAAGAACGAGTAGAAAACAACATGAAATTCCTCTGGCTGATCATGTTTTGTTTACATAGCGCTGCTTAAGAGCACATATACAGTTCGGCTTCTTTTCACCTCACCTTCACCTTACTTTTCACTTTTGCCTTCACTACAGCAACCAACCACTCCCCTTTCAACGCTTTCATTCTCAGCTTGGGTCTTTCATATACTTCCGCAAGCCTTGTTTATCCCTTCCCAAACCACAGCTACGAACAGCGACAACAGCCATGACACAAATTACGCGGCGCAACTCTCGCGCCCACAGTATCCTTTCCGAAGAAGAGCATCCTTCAGCCCATCGACCCCCACTGCCCTCCCGTCGTGGTGGCACTCGAGGTGTCCGCGCAACATCAATCACCTCAGAGACTGTACCTACTACCGCGCCCCAAACAACGCGCATACCACCACACTACTTCCTCGCCCCTACAGTCCCAAGCCCCTTCACTGGCACTTTGGAAGCAAGTCTGGACGCAATCCTGCACTGGAGCCGAACACATGCTTCCACTACCGCCGTTGTAAATGCACTCCTCGAGCCAGTCTCGACAGGCACAAACTGGCCTGCCATACTGTCTGCCTCGTTCGGTACCAAGAACACACTGGATGCGGAAACAGGCCGTTTCCTCCTCGAAGACTTTCTGTTCCTAGTCACTCGAACGTTGCTGCCCGAGCAAATCGCCGAAAACAGAGCGGCAATGGCGAGGCTGTATGATAAAAAGAAGCAACTCGCGATTAGGTTGGTGCTGAGATACGATATGCTACGGGAGTGGTGCGTGGGTGATGGACCGGCCGGAAGGAGGGATATCAGTGTTGCTTCTTTGCCGCCCACAACTATTGTCGCTACGGATGAGAAAGCTGTTGGTGACCTCGCGGCGAGCGGCTCGACGAGTAAAGAAGACTTCGTGCGCAGACCGCTAATGCCGAACATCTTGGCCACTTTGATCGCCGCTCCACAAGGGGGGTTTTTGACGCATGGCGTGAGGGAGAGGATGAAGCACTACGTCACGCCGCTGGACGCGTATCTGCTGTTGAGCGATGAAGAGGTACAGAGATGGAGTGATACGACACTGGTAGTGAGGGCAAGCCAGATCGTGTTGCAGTGGCAGTGGCTGAGGCAGAAGAACGAGGCATTGGACGAGATGGAGTGTAGCGGGTGGGAGGAGTTGGATGGGAGAGCAGATGAGTGTGAGTGGATTGCTGAAAGGAGAGAGGTGGCTGCAGGGAGAGGCGGGAAGGCTGGCGCTGAAGAAGAATTTTGAAAACACAGATGGTGTCTCTGAGGATCTATTCGGACCTGAAGTAAGTTCCCACACGCATGAGACTGTTCTTAAGATCTGGATATTCGAAGGTATCATTGTAATCAATCGGTTTTCCAGGTCTATTCTTTTTAATCCTCTTCAGTATCGCTTGGTGCAGACGAGAGCGGTGACCCAGACCCCGACCCAAACGACAGGATGATGCTGGCTTTGTAGCCTGCCCGTTTTTGCGAGGGCTTTCCAACCCCAATCTCCAGTATCTCCAGCATCCCGAGGAGTCGTCCAGAGCTAGCCACCATCAACTCTTTTGCCTGCTTCTCCTCTCCAGCGTTGCCCCTCTTACCTCTACCGGAGCCATATACGTTATGTCTTGCTTGTATACCAGTCTCCATAGCTTTTCTAAGTTCATTGGTAGGCTTGAGCCCGCCCCCTGCCATCATAAGTACAAAGAGTTGCTCGAGGATCAGGGAGACCTTGGCGTTATCGGCAAAACTTTGTCTGCCATGTAGAGGAAGCAGGATGGACTCAAAGTGCTCTTGCGTTGGGTCGTATCGGAAGTAGTCGGGCAATTTACCGCTGACGAAAGGTAGCAACAGATTCGCAAGGAACATGAATTTCATAGGTCCCGGAACTGCGAGTGTAGTAAGAAATACGTTGAATAGCATAGTCGGAAGGTATCGAAAGTCCTCTACGACATTGTCGAACCAGTCACTCAATGACGTGAAGTTATTGGGGAGTTTGGTCGCGACCTGTGCTAGCTGAAGACCTGTTAGTCAGGCCGTTGGAAATGTTAGCAGTAAACTCACCAAGGCTACGAGTCGCTGTCGCAATGCTATTGCGTCTTTGCCGCCTAGACGCTCGACAGCATCCTGCAAGTTCAAGTTGCCGTTCGCAATATCTGGAAGATCTAGCGGCAGGCTGACATCGAGTTTGCGCTCAATCGCACGTGTGACCCGAGGAGCGTCCTTTGTCTCCTCATCGCTATCATAATCGGCCACCTCACCCGTTTCGAAGTCGACGTTGCCGAGTTTCTGCTTCTTGTTTGCTCTCTCCTTCGGCTCCTTGGTCTCGTTCTCCCAGATCTCAGGATAGTCTTTCAAAGCATTTGAAGAAGCTATCGCAAATATTGCCCTGGCACTGCGGCGTCTCGTTGCTCTGGTTGTTGACTGACCTTCACCCACGATGTAATGCCAGATAAGGCTCTCCTGCAGTGCAGCCTCTTGGCCTCCTTCGTTATGCTGACTTGACCTGACACAAACATCCCAGTCCGCTTCTAGGAAGTCCAGCATTACAGAAAGGAACAGCTTCCATCTCTCCCACCGCTGTTTGTATGCTACAGAGCAGTTGAACGCCCATCCAACGATATGCCAAAAGTCGTCCGCTCTATTCCATATGCTCTTATCATTGGCTGGTTCACAATAGAGTTGATCAATATCGTTCTCCTCTTCGGGAGACAGACTCCTAGTCGTGTTTCTGTGGCCTCGTGGGCGTCGTCTCGTGCGCTCAGGAGGGAACACAAAAGCCTGCCGTATGTAGGGATATCTCGGCGCTTCTATTGTGTTCAGGACACATTGGAGATATCGCAGCGCAGCGTCCGGACCTCTGCGGTTCTCCACCGAAGACGTCTTGAATGTGTAGGCTATGAGCGAGGCGGCAAGTGCAATTTGCGTAGGCGGAGGGAGGAAGCCGATATATGGTTGTGCAGGCGTGGAGATGGATGTGCCAGCTGCTAACAAGCTGTAGAGGAACTCATACGCGTTTGCGACTATTCTGTCAGGCAACACTCGTTTTGCTCCAGGTGACACTTACATTGGAAGCCTTCAATATACGCTTTGGCATGGTTTGCGAGCTCATAAGTTGCTGGCTTCGTAGGGCGCCGTTGCGCGCGTCGAGGGCGTGCCCCTACAGCCTCGATTGCTGCTGAAGGTGCTCCATTGCTATTCGGACCAGATGACGGATTGTCGCACGGTAAATCGGGCGTTGCGACCGTCGTCATGGTGGTTGCGGGAAGTGCGGCATTGTTAGGACGTGGGGGTGGTGAGGAGTGATGGCGGATACGCGTCGCCCCAGCGCGTCTTCACGTTCATGTTTACGCAACGCGAGCCGTGGTACTTTCTGCGAACAAACACGCCAGCTCATCTTAGTCCAGGCTCAATCTATTCGTATTCTCGTGTTGGTGTATCTGGAGGCTTCTATATAACCAGTAAAATTGATAAGGCAGGTGGAGCTGCACCGAAGCAGACCAGTCCAAGCAAAAAGTGATATTGCTTACAGAACGCAGGACCAAGACAGCATTAGAGAGCAACAAACAAAAAGAAAAAGTAATCGTGCGACAGCGGCAGGATTCGAACCTGCGCGGCCGAAGCCATATGATATCTAGTAGATGAACTCGTTCGAGTCATACCCATTAACCACTCTGGCACGCTGTCTTTGATTGGTTAATTTTGAGATTATATAAAATATGTACTTATTACTGCATCATCGAGGACTGTCCAACTCCGCTTACCTCATCTCTCTCGTGGTCTTAATCAGGACTGCTAAACAGTCATCCGTGAATATGTGCACGAGCTGCTGATCCACTGCGGGGTCACAGCAGGCTTCAAGCGAGACTTCGCCCACAGATCACAGACTTAGCCTTTTAAGGATTCATCCGTAGTGACGGCTGTTCACAACAACTAGTCTACGTGCGGCAGAGTTATCGAGCCGTTTCCACACATCGCAATCTGATCAGTCTGGTATTGTTGCACGTCTGGAGTCAGAAATAGTACCGTACTTATTGTAGACGTGCAGAGGCTTTCGGACCACAGCTCCCTACCAAAAATCACACATAAAATGAAGCTGTAACGAAACAGACTAGATATGACAGCTGGTAGAGAGAGGGAAGCCAGCACAGCGCTTTGAGTTGAGATGTGTGTATTATACAGCCGACAAGCATTAGGCTTGAGCTCTGTGCTTGTTCACAAAAGATCTCTTATATTGCGCACTGGTACTTGCACAGTTCTATTGAACCTTGGACGCGATTTGCGTTACACCAAGACTTGCATCCTGTGTCTACACCTACCTCAACCACCACGCAAAAAGAAGGCTCATGATGGTCAGCGAGCAAAAAGAAATGCTGTTTCCGGTACCGGGAATCGAACCCGGGTCTTTCCGGTGCTTCAATCGAGTGATCGGTTGAAAGCGGAATATCCTAGCCTCTGGACTATACCGGAGATGGTACTGATGATGAAGGAAAGCCGATTGGCGTATATTATAATGCAAATTTGTTTGAGGAGCTACTATCGAAGAGGGCTGCTCCATTAGAATGGAATTGCGGAATCCACTACGCGGTTGATCATTTGTCTGGCATAGAAGCCCGCTACAGCTGCCCTAAGATCCCGTAGCGAGCTTGGCTTACAATCAATCCTTCCCAGACGCTAGTGCGGCGGGAATAGATAGCTGCAAAAAGAGACTGCCGTTCGTTGCTTGGATGAAATGTACTGTGACTGTCGTCATCTGCGGAGAAGGTGTTTCTGATGTGAAGGCGGACAGTTACAAGATTGCGATGAAGTTCTAGCTTAGTCAGTTGTCGCGACTATGTGCTGGCTGCATCACCTTGCACGACGGTCAACTTGACTGCTGAAGTGCTTTAGCGGAGAGGAAAGTCTATTTTGTCTAAACCTGCTTGGATGCTTCGCCGTTGAGATATATGCAACTATCATACCGGTATTCTACCAGGCACCAGATCTTACCTTTGTTCAGCTACAGATTATGAAGCTATGAGCAACGTAGGCCACAACAAAAGTACTGACGTTATCGAGCTGACCTGCATTATGGTGCTGCATACTAATTAATGATCACTGTCGTTCTTCAACTTTGCATAGGGCAGGCCGAGCTATTTACGGGTAACCTTATAACAAAGCCATTCCCACAGCAACCCTTCATCCGCAGATGGCACAAACCTTTGTCAAAGCCGCATTCACCTACAGATACTTCGTCTGCCACGCCCCCAACTCTCTAGGATCATTGTTTGTTTCAGTCACGATCTCCGCCACCCGAACCGTGCGTTTGCTGAGGTGAAGTGAGAGATAGCGTGATACTGCTCCAAGATCAACGTTGTGAGCATGACTGTTTTCTTAACTTTGTATACACAAGCTCCTCCCTTCGCAGTTCAACCTCACAATGTCGAAAGCCTTGCAGACCGCTGCGTACATCGTGACCTGGGCTAGCTTTCCGAGTGCTATTACGTCTTGCATGCTCAGATGCTACTATTGCAAGTTCCTCAAGCGCAGCTGGAAAGCAGATGACATTGTGTCTCTGATCGTGAGCGTAAGCTGCAGGATATTCTCATCTCCTCACAGGCTCCGACTGACTGGCGATCAAGGTGTCACTCGTTGGCGCGCTGGGCATCTGGCAGAGAATCTTGCTCTTGGGTTGTGCAGGGTCAGTTTTGAGCAGTAAGAGATCCAGAAAAGATGTCTAACATTTTTCAGGCCTGAGCCAAACATGTGCAGCTACTCCGACCCAAGCGGCGATGCTCTAATTGTTCGTGTAATGCTGCTCTGCTCGCGCAACTCAACTGACAAGCACAGTGGCTGTTCGTCACCTCAATCCACTACGCTTTCTTACACTTTATCGTCCGAGCCGCCTTCTTCACGTTCTACCTGCAGTTCTCTGCTCAGTCCAGGTTCCGCTTCTGGATCGGTATGGGATTTGGGATGAACGTCATGATGCTGCTCATCGACCTGCTTTTAGTTGTATTCCAGTGCACGCCCATTACAGCGGCCTTTCAGCCTGTACAGCGTTTGACGGCGCAGTGTATGGATCGGAGATTTTCACTCTACGCGCCAGCCGTGTTGGTCTGTTCTGAAACCATGCTCCCATGATTAGCTCACCGCTGACTTATTGAATAGAACGCTGTACTTAACCTCTACGTCCTGATTTTACCTCTTCCCACGTTTTGGTCGGTCCAGATGCCAACGCGGCGTAAGATGTACATATGCTGCGTGCTGATGACCGGTACTGCTGCTGTCGTGTTGGGCTTCATACGCATCAACTCTCTGCGCATACTCACCACCAGCAACGACACGTCAGCTGGAGTCGGCGAGATGATGATAGTTGCTGCCCTGGGTATGAGCCTCGCTGCGATTACCCACAATCTTCCCTCGATGCGGGTTCTCTGGAAGCATGTATCAAAGTCGCGTCTAGATACAAGGGCTACACCGTATCGATCCTACGACATCAACTCGCGAGACAAGCTCCAGGCGAATACAACGTATGGGCTTGGCAGTGATGTGTATGGGCTGAAAGGTTCGTCAAGGCACATAAAGCCCAACGTGTTTGTGACAAGTCTAACGGAGCGTCCTCAAGATGTGCCAATGGCGGCTTACGATGGCAGTCCATACCAGCCACGATATCCTGTCGTCGATGTTGAGTTCGGGATGAGGCCTCGTACGCCTCCGAGGATCTCTTGAAGCGTTGGACGCACCTGTAAGGATCTCGTTTCCTTGCCCCAAGTCAGGCAGTGACAAGGGGTGACGACGGCCTTTGTTGCACATACACGGAGGCTATTCTGCTCGCTGGATTTTGTCTGAGGAATTAACTCATCTTGCAATCCCAATGGTATCTTGATATCATGTCTCATTCAATGCAGATCTATCCTTAATCTCTTGACCCAAGACCACATGCCTAATAACGCCGAACATGCTCGTAACACCCTGCCCAGAGAGTCCACAATCCACTACTGCAGCAATGGATCGCGGTAGTGCTTCTGCATGTTGTGCCTCTTCTCGTTACCAGCCTGGTACCTATTCCTCGCGCGGTCGGCCTGCTTCTGCTGCTTCTTCTCAAGAGCAGCGATTTCCTTCTTCTTGCTGTCGCTGACACCGATCATACCCATGCCGCCGTTGGCACGTGAGATGACCTCGCGACTCTGGCGGCCACGGCCCTCCCCACCATCTTCCATCTCAGTATCGCCATCCTCATCATCCTCTGGTGCAGTGAGGCGGCGCTGTGCATTCTCCATACGCTCAGCGACACCGGGATAGTTGCGCAGGTTCTGTCTGTAGTACTTGTTGAGCGACCTGTGACCAGCAGTTCGGCCGGAGGGTAGGTGCAGCTCGTATTCGTCGTGGTAAACAGCAACGGGTGTGGCATGTGCGTGTGAGTGGAAGCCATCTGCAGCTCGGTGAGGTCGAGGGTCTGCATGGTTGTGGTGTCGAGACTTGTGTAGTCCCTTGTGACGGTGGGAACGGTCAATGGGCACGGCTGTGATCTCGTCTGTTGGAACACTCGAGACTGTGCTGTCGGTTTCCCAGCCCTCATCACCCTCGCCGCTGGACATGGCTGCATCATCCTCTGTGGTGGTCTTGGCCTCGCGCCTGGCTCCGAGCTTGACACCGCCTCCTGTTGTGGACGCAGAGTCATCCGAGGCCTCTGCATCATCCTGCATCTCGTCGAATGCGGCCTGGTCATCGTACGTGCTGCTGAAGTCGTAGAACTCGCCGACTTCGACGAGCTCCTCGTCGCTCTCGAACGCAATCATGCAGTGACCGCGGTCGCGCATGTGTGTCTGGATACCGGATGCTGTGTGTACGACTTTGTGGCACTTCAAGCAAGCGTGCTGCTCGTGGATTTTGCCATGGAGGTAGTTGAGAAGGCCCTCTGGGTTAGCGAGAAACTCCTTCTCGGGGACGAACATTCCGTGGAAGCGACCCATGTGGTGCAGGTTCAACGGCATAGTTGGCGATTTGTAGTTGCAGAACAGGCAGTCTTGCAGTGGGTCGGTGATAACCTTGGATGTGGCGACTGAACTTCGGTCGTCTTCGGTCGAAGCCTCTGTGGGCTCAGCGTCTTCCAAGCTAGAGGTCTTCAGGCCTTCAGCGACATCTGCGACGTCCTTCTCGCCAACAGTGGCCTCAGAGTCAGCCATAGACTCGCCGAGTGAGAACGCAGAGCTCATGACAGAGCCGTTGACCGAAACGGCATCGTCGTTCTGCCCAGTCCTTGAGGCCTTCATGACGTTTGTGCGGTGCTTTGAGCTGTTCACATGGTTGGCGTAGGCGTTCTCGCTGTAGTACGTCTTCTGGCAGACGGCACAAGACTTTTCGAACGACGCCTTGGCAGCAGATGCGGCGGCAGAGGCCTTGTTCGCAAGGACCTTCTCGGTGAAGATCTCAGAGGACAGGGGAGGCAGCGAGGCGACACGGCGCTTCAGGTTGTAGCGGTGCCAGTCGGTCTGCATATGCGCCCGCTGCAACTCGCCCGAGCGGAACGCGACCTGACATGTGTTGCAGGTGAAGGGGTGCGTGGACTGGATGTTGGCCTGGGTAGGCACTTGTTGGGACGCCATGGTGCTGGCTTGTGAGGGAACGTGGTTGCGAGTGTGGGTTGTCAAGACGAGCCCTGGACGTGGTCACCGAGGGGAAAGTGAAGAATAATTGACTAGCAAGTGGGGGTTGTGCGGAACGTTTTTGAGGCGTCTGTGACTGGCCGAGCGGCAAAATCCCTGTTTTTGGAGGCACGGGTGAACTGCGATTAGAAAGCAAGAACGAGAAGGTATCTAAAATCTTATCGTAAGACTTGTTCACAGCGAAAACCATAGAATCGCTCGAGATGCCCTTGCGGCGGCAAAACGTCGACCATCTGAAATGTTGCGCCGCGTTATGACGTTTTCGCCTCGCCAAGCACAGCCCCCTGTCGCTTCGGTGGCCCCTGCAGCCTCGGATCGCAGCCGCATGCATGGCAGGTGCGGGAGCTATGCACCCAGCCCTACGGCTTCTGTCTAGCTGTACAATGCGGTGCTCATCATCCATGCTACTGCACATATATACGCAATAACCATACGCTCGCTCTATGATATGACCACGTCGGAAGGAGGGCCTCGCCGTCCTCGAGATGAACCTAAAGCCTCCTGCAGCTCGGGCACCACACCATCTGATGGCGCGTCAGAGCCTCGAAGACGCTCATCACAACCGTTGGAACACCGCCTTGACAACGTGGTAGACGTGAGGGACCCTTCTCGACTCATAGAATGCTCGCACTTGGAAAGACAGCGCAAGTTCCAGTATCTCGTGCGCCAGTAGGTTTGGGATGGCATCTGCCAGCGTCCTGTCAATTGTGGTGACAAATGCTAACAACTTCGCAGCTACCTCTCCCAGATACTGCACGGTTGTAAGAGCGCTTACTGTGATACACCGACATGTCTCTCGTGCAACAAGCGCGGCATCTCCAA